GCTTCCTGATTTGCCGATCCTGAATCACGAACAGCCGACTGGAACGTCGGATCATCTTCGTGAACAAATGATACGTAAGGTAGGCATTGAAGCTATCACACAGGCCTCTGCAGCAGCCGAGACCAATCGTGCATTACGCACCAAGATTACACCGGTCATCACTACTACGACGAAGTAGATTTAGTTGATTACCATCGCCCCATATCCACGAAGGTCACCTGGGGAGGCTGTAATGGCCCATTCCCGGTCGTGGAAAAGGATTCCCGCAGGGGTCAAGTCATCATTCGAGTGGGGAACCGCGATGTTCAGGTACAATACGGTGATGCACGACAGTCGCTGTATATGGGAGCGTTGATAACCAGAGAGATTGACTCCGACAGCGCTGCACTACGGACAGCGTTGACGTTCGTGGCCAGTTTACCTGCTGGAAGACCTGCCATGACATTTGGCTATGCCCCGACCAGGAAGGGGGCGCTTCAGATGACGCGTGCAAGCCGACTATCTTCTAAGGTACACCTGGCTCTACAATACGTCATCAGACACTTCTTCCGCATCGAGAATGCGGAGTTTTGGTTAGGCTGGCCAAGGGTATCCACAAGCTACCTCCGATGGCTTACGCTGACAGTTGAACATTGGCCCACTATGGCAACGATGTGAACCCCGGATTTCAATATCATGAAACAGAAGGCACCGCTCTTAATATTCATCCTATAACTGGATCAGCACATTCTAGAGTCATCTAGTGCCTGAAGCCCACCAAACCTCAGGCGGGCTTTGACCAGGATCTGACAAAGTTAGAGAAATTGGCGGGCGCACCGACACAGGACGAAACCGCAAGAGAAACCCCATAAGCCGAACCACCACAGGAGGACGGACGGCTTTCAACGATACGTGCGGAATCGGAGGGGGATCTCGAGGCACATATCATGGAAGTGTGGTGCACAGAACTGCATGATGAAAGGGAACTATTGGAGGCAACTCCACTAGAGGACCTTTCCACAGTACCCACACATATGATTCCAGACAACAGCAGTGCGCTGGTCACTGTAGCTGAAGAACAGCGGGGACACCTGCCGAAGTGGGGGCACCCGCGCGACCCCGACATCGAGGAGATGTATAATGTCCAATTGTGCTCCACGGTCGAAGATTGCAGTTGCAAGCTGGACTCATGCGAAAACGGACAGTATGTTGAACTCTCCTTGACGGCAGAAATGTCAAAGGTAGTCTTGTCCGAACAACAGCACGGGATATTAGAGGCCGGCCGCGCGACCACCATGCGAGTATATGTTGCCGCCGCTGCAAAGCGAGCTGCGGTCGTCAAGGATGACGACCTCCTCGTGGAGGCTGACGTCCAGGCGAACCCCGGGAGAGTATCGACAGCCCTATACACTGAACGCAAGACATGGTTTGTCAACAAGTGCTTCACAATGCAAGATCTCTTTAAAGCGTCAAACATCATGGCTTCGAGGCATGCGCACACATGGAAGTTTGTGAAGAACGAGAAGGGCGAGGTGGAACTTACCATCAGATTACGCCTGGTGCTTCGGGGCTTCATGGACCTGAAAGCCCCCGGCGTGGAAACCTTTTCGGGCGCAGCACGGCGGCCAAGCCGGAGATTACTCGCGAGCACGGCAGCGTGCTAGAAGCAATGGATCACGGCTTCCCTCGACATCAACATGGCCCACCTGGAAAGGGTTGACCTACCAGGAACTTGCTGAGGCAACTGGTGAAAATGAACGCGTGGCCTGCTTGACCCTGCCGCCTGGATCGGCAACGGCGCTTCGAACTCTCCCAGGATTCGTGCGCCACGACGAGTCGAAGCACTGCTGGCAGCGCCTCAAGCCAGGCACTGGCACCAGGACGCACCTCAAGCTTCCCCACCAAAACTCATAAGGACCGCAAGCGGCTTCGGTCTCAGACCCACGTCCTACGACGAGGAGTTCGAGACGCGCAGTAACCTGCTCACGGCCAAGCATGTTGATGACGTCAATATGGCCGGCACAAGGGGACACCATTGACAAGTGCGTCAAGTGCGGAACAAGCGCACATGCACCAATTGTGTTGTGAGATATACCGAGGATGAGGACGGCAGTGCTACGTTGGACCAAGGCGAATACATCACACAGCTCCGCCCTATACGGCATCCTGAACTTACAGGCGCTGGCGCTGACGCCCAAGCACCCAAGATGGTTGCAGACATATTGGCCAGCATGCATTAATCACCCAGGTGCGGTTGACGGTTGATGCTGTCTCTCTACAAGGTGTCCAAGAACCGACCAGCGTATTGCGACGACTCAGCGCGATTGCCAGGAAACTGCAGGCATGCCCTAAGAAGATCGCCTACCAGGCGATGACCCCCACGGGCGAGGTTGACCTGCACAGCGACTCAGGTTACCGACGCCTGAGTGGAGATGCCGATGACGAAGTCAAAGGCTATGGTATTCGCAGGGCAAACCTGCTACGGCGTGGAAGCGCGCCATCCCGTAAGCCCGTCGTTCACTTGATCGGTGCGCACTGCAAGTCTCATCGCTTGCAGGCCCGCTCGAGCTATTCAGCAGAGACACTAGCAGCAGCCCACAACTTGGAGGACTGCAGTCCCACGACGGTGACTCTGCACGAGCTCCGCGCGCGGCCGCTAACTCCCACTCAGTTGAAAGACGCACTTGAGTTGGGTGGCCTGAGCATCAAGGTCACTTTGACCATTGTTCTTAAGTCCTTATCAAATAAAGACTTGAAGAAGCCGACTGGGTGTACCCTTTTACGACACATGAGCTGGATACGACAGATGATGGAGCGAGGCATCGTGCACAGTATTCAATGGCGTGACACCCGTGATATGACCGCGGGCGGTCACACCAAGGGGAGCATCGACAGAGAAATGCTCCTACAGGTCATGGGAGGTACGCAATCCGTCAAACATAACTTAAAGCGTCATGCTCCTTATCGGGCGGGGCAGACATCTAGATCTGTAGCCGCCTGAGGAGCACTCGTACGCACAGTAGCAGCCAAGGCAACTTGCGCGCGGGACCGCCTTCCTTATGGCCCGAACTTTTTTGTTGCCCTTTTGTACATAGTAGCTGCTGTACGTGCTGTATAGAGGCGGCGGGTTCACGCTTCGTCTCCCTCCCCCCCGACTCTAACGTGAGCTGGGTGTTGCATGCGAGTGGGAACGAGCGTGCTTCCGCGGCTGCTTGGCTCAAAGCGGCCGGCCGCCCAGATCTGACTACACCTCAGCGCGAGGTGTACCATGTGCCATCGATACCAAAACTGCTTGAGATGGCTCGCCCTTGCTACTGGGACCATCGCTACTACGGTACAACAGAGCGGGAGCTGGGCGTCGCCTGAGGCGAAGCTGCTGGTTGGGCCTCCCAACCCCTTTCAAACTGCGCAGGGGGTGGTCCCTGAGCGCGGTTTCCATACGGTCCAGGCTCGGAAAGTGTGGCAGGCGTTGCATTTTCTAGACGCCGGAAGGGGGCGCGCAGGGGTTAGTTTCTGAACGCGATGTCTATACGGTTCAGGTTCGGACAGTGGCAGGCGCTGCATTTTCTCAACGCCAGAGTGGGTGCGCAGGAGGTGGTTTCTCATCGCGGTCTCTATACGGTCCAGTCCCGGAAATTGCGGCAGGCGTGGCACTTTCTCGACACTAGAGGGGGTGCGCGGGGGGGTCTCTTGGCAGGCGTGGCGGTTTCATGACACCAGAAGGGGGGTTGCGCAGGGGGTGGTCTCTGAACGCGGCTTCTATACGGTCCAGGCTCGGAACATGTGGCAAGGGTGGCAGTTTGTTGACAACAGGGGGGATGCGCAGGGGGGGGTTTTGACCGCGTTCTCTATACGGCCCAGGCTCGGGAAGTGTGACAGGCGTGGCACTGCCTTGACACCGTAGGGAGTGCGCAAGGGGTGGTTTCTGAGCGGTGTCTCTATACGGCCCAGGCTCGGAAAGTGTGGCAGGGGTTGTATTTTCTCGGCGCCATAGGGGGTGCGAAAAGGGTGGTCTCAGAAGGCGGTCTCTATACGGTCCACGCTCGGAAAGTGTGGCGGGCGTGGCACTGCCTTGGCACTAGCGGGGGTGCGCAGGGGGTGGTCCCCGAGCGCGGTCTGTACACGGTCCAGACTCGGAAAATGTGTGTCAGGGGTGGCAGCTTCTTGACACCATAGGGGGTCTCAATACCACAAGGGGTGCGAAAGGGGCTGGTCTCTGAACGCGGTCTCTATATACGGTCCAGGCTTGGGAAGTGTGGCAGGCGTGGCATTTTTCGAAATTGGATGGGCTGCGCAGAGGATGGTTTTTGAGCGCGGTACCTACGCGGTCCGAGCTCGGAAAGTGTGGCAGGGGTGACGGTTTTTTGACACCAGAGGGGGTGCGCAGGGGGTGTTTTTTCAGCGCGGTTTCTATACGACCCAGGCTCGGAAAGTGTGGCAGGGGGGGCAGTTTCTTGACACCAGAGGGAATGCGCAGGGGGTGGTCCCTGAGTTCGGTCTCTATACGGTCCAAGCTCGGAAAGTGTGGCAGGGGTGGCAGTTTCTCGGCGCAGTTCCTGAGTTAGGTCTCTACACGGCCCAGGCTCGGAAAGCGTGGCAGGCGTGGCAGTTTCTCGACGCCCTCAGGGTACTCAGGTTCACAATGCTTGACTGGCGTCACCAACGGTATCGGCGGGGCAACGGCCACCAGCATCATTCTCGCATGTTTCACTTCAGCGATCCTCATTCCAGACATACTATATGTATGTTGGTTCCCTCGGTCGCGTAATTTCACCTACAGTTGTTTGTTGTTGCGTGTCGCTGTCATTGGCGCGAATAGGGGGTGATTGGTGGACGTTTGGCGCGGGGCATGTGCCGTCATTATTCGCTTCGCTTTTTGGTTGCCGGCATGTGCTATGAATCTCCCAGCATCTTGGTTAAGATAGGGTTCAATCAAAAACGAATGTAACGCACGGAGGCCCTGCCCAGCCGCCCGCCAGGGACGCCCCCCTTTGCCTTCGCCTTGCCCGCGAGTTCCGGAGAGGCCGCCGTGCCGATGGCGGCAGCCACCGCGCAGCGCCAGCTGGGAAGGTGCGCGGGTGAGTTACCGCTGCGGACCAAGAGCGGGTGGTTCGTATGTTGTCGTTTTGCTTTAGACGCTGGCAGGTTCACGGTCGGGAGTTGATCGATCGTGTGTCGCGCCGTTGGTTCTGGCCTTCTATATTTCGGCGCGACGCGCTATCCACGCCCCGTTTCCCAGGCGTCAACGTCCACAGCCTTTCCGAGACTCCCGCCGTGGGAGCGCAGCGACACGCTACCTGCTTAGTATGATTCCGTTTTGTGCAAGACTCTTGCATTGGAGTTGGCTGTGAGTCGGAGGTGGCCCAACACCTGGTTCTGGCCAGCAAGAAACAGGGGGTGGGAGGGGGGGAGGTTAAAAAGAGGGGGGGAGGGAAGGAAGCAAGAATGAGAGGGCAAGGGGGTGGGAGGGGGGGTGAGTCTGAGCTGCCCCAGGACCGTCAAAAACGGATCCAGTGTGAAAAGCTTCAACAGGTGGACCCCAGGAGGGGTCCAGGGGTCGAGTTTGAACGGATTTGCCACCAGACCCCCCGGCCGCATCCAACTCTAGCAGGTGTTCGTACCTGCATGGATGGGGGCCGGGAAGGAAACCTAGACTTCACCGAAGTCGGGGCTCATTTGCACGCCTTTCTGGCCCCGTTCCATCTGAGCAGGCAGCGCGTGATGTGGGGGGCGTGGGGGCGGGGAATATCGTGCAAGTCAGTTCGTTTTATTCTGGAGTACGTCGCCATCGATTTGTCGGGGAGGGGCCAGCGCAGAGAGCGAGGTGCAGTAGAGGCTAGGGCTTGTTCCTGTCGTGAGAGCGGCGCGCTGTCGCGGAGCGGGCTGAGGAGGGCAAGGATGGGTAGGGGTCGGGCTGGGCTGAAAGGAAGAGGCGGGGAGCGTTTCTGCTTCTTGTGCTGCTCCCGTTCCTCTCCTCCATATCTCCTCCACCCCTCTCCACGAGAGCCAGGAAACGGCCTGGGAAGCTCCTCTCCGTCCCCGCCCTCCTCTTCCTCCGTCTCCTTCTCCTGCTCCTCCTGCTCCTCCTTTTCCTTCTCTTCCTCCTCCTTCTCCTCCCTCTCCTCCTCCTCCTCCTCCTCCTCCTCCTCCCCCTCCTCCTCCTCCTTCAGCCGCGGCGAGTAGCACGGTATGGCCCTGTCTGCCACACGCCAGTGTAACGCACTCGGGTCACATTATTTCCACGATGTGGTCGCAGGGGAGGCTCATGAACGCGTGCCACATGGTCCGCCTTGGGCAAGGGGACCTGCGGAGGTGGTCGTGGACATCGTGTCGACTTGGGCCTGGTGACCCGCCAGGTCTTCGAGGGTGTTCCAGGGTTCCAAGCTCTTAGAGGCGGGGCTTGGGTCGGCACCTTCGGGGGGGGTCGTTATCTGTGCGGGCAGGGCGGAGCGACTCGAGCGCGGCGCTGCTGCTTCAGGGTGAACGCTCAGCTGTTGTTGTTCTGGCTGTTCGGAGATAACTTTTTGGGCAGTCGTCTTGTCTTACTGTTGCCAGCGCCCCCACCTCAGTGGCGGGTGACACGGGGCGGCGGTTGTCCGTCGCTATCTGATGCCAGCTTGCTTTGGCTCGGATTCTGGGGCGTGGTCGTCCAGGCACGCAACGCCATCGTGATTCACTCGCCGAGTTGTGGTCGGGGGAAAACCTCCTCCTCCTCCTTCCAACTCGTTTTCGTTCTTCTCCTCACCGATCTTCCCCATCCATCCACAGCCTTTCTCCCTCCTCTCTTCCTCCGCCTTCTCCGTTGTCGTCGTCGTCGTCGCCGTCGCCCCCCCCCACCACCAAGCACAAAGATTTTGTTCGGCCGCAGCATACCTATGCTCTGTCCCGCTCCGCTCTCGTCTCTACTGCTGGTTTCGCGTCGTTGGACCCTGTGATCAGATCAGGAATTCAGGAAACCTTGGCATGGACGAGGGAGAAGGGGGTAAAGAGGGGAAAACCGAAGGCGGTCGTAGAGAAGGAGAACGGGGACAACGTGGAGGACGTGAAGGAGGAAGAGGAGGAAGAGAACCAGGATGGAGTGTTGGCGATGAGCACGAAGCAGCACAACTTCCGAACTTGTGAGTGTGCAGTACAGAAGGTATTGTGGACGACTGCTCAGGCTCCACGCGCCACAGGAAACAGAGCGACGGAAGGCTGGCAGGTCGAGAGCTCTTGGACGATCTTCGCTAATTTGGGGTGCCTCCGGATGCTCCTGGAGGCCCCTGGAGGCTCCCGGAAGCCTTCGTCGGGCGCCCCTGGCGTCCTCGGGAGAGGCCCAAGCCTCCGAGAACGAGGTGTTTCTGGAAGCCAAACTTGTTTCCCAGAAGCATGCACGGTCATGAACTTTGGCTTTGCTTTTCGCTCCGCCGGTTCTGGCCCACCATGCCTTTTCGCGACACACTATCAACGTCCTGGGGCCGCCGCCGCGACACGCTAAGCAAAAGTTCGCGACTATGTTTTGTTGGAGGCCGAACCCGACTTCAAGAGCACGCGCTGATAGGTTCAGGCTTTTGAGGGTGGGCCCCCCTGGCGAGGGTCATCTGCGGTCAGTAGCAAAACATGGGAGCCCTGTACAGCTGCGCAATTCCGTCTTTAGAGCATTGGCGTCGATGTGCGTGTGGTCATCGATGAGATAGTCCCGATGTAGCGTCGAATAGTGCCGACTGCCGCCGATGTAAAAGGGCCAACAAGCTGGTGTGGGAGGCCCCCATGAGTTGCCGCAAAAGCCTCGCTGGGGCGTGGGACGCACCCCGCCCAGAGCGCGCGGTTTCGCTATCGGGGGCCCTTCGCCGATCTGTCGGCGGTGTAGCGCCGATTCCAAGTCAATCTCCCCCCCCCCTGAGCCAGTCCTCCTCGAACGTTCTCGCTCAAGCGAAACCGCCCCGAGAGAGAGCGAGTCGGTGCTGTCCCCACCCGGCAGGTTGGCGTTAGATCTTGAGAAAAGAGGTCCCCCGACCGACTCACCTGCCCTGCACACCGCGGCTGCCAGGCAATAGTCCCGGTCATCCTTGCCATCCTGGGTGATCCCTGGGTCTATCGTCTCGCCCGCCCTGCATATCGCGGCCGCCAGGCCCCAATAGTCCAGGGCATCCTCGGTTATCCCGCCTCGCCCGCCCGGCATACCGCGGCCGCTTGGCCCCAATAGTCCTGGCGGACGTCCAGAACAGACATCAAGACATCAATCGTATACAGGCAGAGAGCAGACACCACAACTGGACTCCAGGAACAGTGAGTGATACAGCGCAGTCGTCGATAATGTATGGTCCAGGATTGCCCCGACCACTCTCCTAACGCATAAGGGATCGAGCCTCACTCCCCCGCTGGATGGGTCTGGTCGTGAGCCTTGCGAAGGCCTCTAGGATCGCTTCCACCCCACCTGTGGTCGTGGTCCTGTTGGCGCGGCGTGGTGGATGGTGGACGGTTTCGGCGTCGGCGTCTGCGTCGGCGTCGGCGTCGGCATCGGCGTTGTCATCGTCGTCGTCGTCGTCGCCGTAGGTCTGTGGAACCCTGGGGCCCATTCCATCTGGGTTGGGGGTCTGTGGAACCCTGGGGCCCATCACATCTGGGTGGGGAGGGGGCTGTGAACCCTCGACACGGGATCAGATATATGTACATGTAGCACCCCGCAGTTGCAGATCAGAGCGAGGGCGCGAGCGCGGGGTGGGTCGCGGATGGGCTGCCAGTGGGTGGTGAGGTGAGTTGCGGGTGGGTCGCGGGTGGGTCGTTGGGTGGGTCGCGGGTGGGTCGTTGGGCAGATCGCGGGTGGGTCGTGGAGCGGGTCGCGGGTGGGACGACGACAACAATCAGCAACCGGGAGAGTCCACGCCGGGGATCTCATTTACAAATACGCAACCAGTGACAGTGAATGACCGTTCGGCCCCCTTCCTTTGATCATGGCTTGTCATCAAGAACATGTACCGAGGACATACACCAAGGAGGGGCTTCAAACCCATAAAAGTTGATATGCCGGAGCTTCTTGGCGGGGACTGCTCGAAGAAAGTAATGTAGGCGCTGAGCTAGTCTTCGAAGGGTCCGTCTCTGAGGGAGGGGGCTCTCGCTTGGGTGCTGCGAGCCGTCCCCCTTTCTGCGCGGTGCAGGCCCCTGGCCGCGGCTGCATCGAGAGGCGCCACTGCCGTGGCCCCTCCCATCCCGTAGCTAGAGACTGATGGGGGAGGACGGGAGAATGGGGCAGGATCCAGACTTGACACAGAAGGACCGCACGAAAAGTGAAGGAGGGATGATTCATGTGGACAGAGCGTGCAGAACCGAGGGGGTAGTGGGGAACAGGGAAGGGGAAGGGGGGTTTGGATGGAGGAAAAAACAGTAAACGGGGACGGGGTGAACAGGGGGGGAGGTGAGTGATCAATGATGGGGAAGTGGAACGAGGGGAATTAGTGGTTATATAGTAAGGAGAAGGTGGATGGGGTCGCATGAAGAAGAATGCAGGAGCAAGGACTAAGTTGAAAGGGTCAAGCAGGAATGGTGAAGTATGGACGATGGGATAGAGTTTAGGAGCGGGGAAATGGACGAACCGAAACAAGAAGCGGGAGTAGCAGTAAGAAGCAGGATGATAATTATGTGGGTAGTCATACGCGAAGTCAACAATGAATACACATGTGCGGGAAGGGCAGGTAGGATTACTGAGGAAGGGTGAACTAGAGTGGAGGAGGCAGGATTACGCGGAGGGAACGCAGATGAGGATGAAGGATGGTGTAGGATCAAAAAGAGGAAAAGGAACGAGAAAGGACGAACAACAGGGACGAGCAAGAGTGGGGGTGACGGAGCAAACCCGCCATTCCCAGACCAGCAGCACCCACCGAATCAGCACGTCCGCCACATGTAGATAGCCTAGCCGACATCACTCTCCTAGCCGTTGCCACCAAAACTTTGCGGGCAACCATCCCCGAGGCCTACGAGAAATCCCAAAAGTGCATACGCTTTAGGCGCGGCGTCCACGCGCGCAGCGACGCGGCACAGGCAGTCGGAGAAGCGACAGCGCGAGCCGCCAATGCCACAGAAGCGGCCAGGAAATCGAATCATAGAATCTTAGAAAGACAACGTGCGCACATGCATGCATGCATGGCTGTCTGTCTGTCTGTCTCTCTGTCTCTCTGTCTGTAGGTAGGTCGGTATGTGTGCATGCATGTATGTATGTTTGTGTGTGTATGTATGGAGCTATGTATGTATGTATGTATGTATGGCTGTACATGCTGCTTGCACGCTGTATGAAGACTGATAGGCACATCGGTAGGTAGGGCGACATGCTTTCAGGTCGGTATGTATGTATGGGTGTATGTATGTATCTAGGTAGGTAGGTAGGTAGGTACGTACATATGTATGTATGTATGAATGGATGCGCGCATGTGTATGTATGTATGTATGCATGCATGTTTTATGTATGCATGTATGTGTGTATGCATGTATGTATATATGTATGTGTGTATGCATGTATGTATGTATATATGCATGCATGCATGCATGCATGTATGTATGTATGTATGTATGCATGTATGTAGGTATGTATGTTTTCATGCGTGTATGTATATACGCACATACTTCGCCGCTACGCAAGTTCGGCCAAACTTCAACGCCTCCCGTTAGGCGACGGGGCCCCAGTACAACGTTGGCAGTGGGCCCGTTAGGCCGCGGGGCCCCAGTACAATGTTCGGTTGAAGCATTTTTCGCTCCAGTCTCGGGCGGCACCGCCCTTTCGAAATCGAGCCCGCGGGCTTCGAAATCCAGTCGAGCTCGTTTTGGGGGGGAAGTCCTAGGCGAAAGCCACATTTCGAAATCGAGCCCAAGGGTTTCGAAATCCAGTCGAGCTCGTGTTGGGGAGGAAGTCCTTAGCGAAAGCTGCATTTTCGAGTTTTCGGGTCAGGGCTTTTAACATTTTAAATGACAAATTTTGTGGCCATTTCGAAACGGCGGTTTCGCTTGATACTTCCTAGAAACAAAAAACGATTTCGAACGATTTCGAAACTGTCGGGTTCGATTTCGAAATGGCGCTCCCGCCTAGGACTTCCGCCAACATAGGATTCGGAACCTTTCTGCTTCGATTGCGAAATGGCGCTCCCGCGCAGGACTTCCTGCAAAATGAGGTTCGTTGTTTAGCTGAAAACACAAAGCGGGTCAAACTTTCGTAGCGCCGATGTATGCATGTATGTGTGTATGTATGCATGTATGCATGTATGTATGTCTATGTATGTCCATGTCTGTGTAGGTTTGCGTATGTGTGCATGTGTGAAAGTGTGTATGCGTATGCGTGTACGTCCATATGTGCGCTGCGTGAGACATATATATAGACAGCGAGATAGAGAGCGAGAGGGAGGGAGACAGAGAGAGAGAGAGAGCGATAATGAGGGAGAGCGAGAGAGAGAGAGGGAAAGAGACACCAAGAGCGAGAGAGAGAGAGAGACATTATACTGAATGCAGGAGCAAGTGCATATTTATGATCTCCATGGTTTCGGCCCCTTCGCCCCCGAAATGCATATTGGATCAACCCCCCTGCCCTGGATAGGTACGACCGTGAGCCTCGCGAGGGCCTCGCGAATGGGATCGTTCCCCCCCCCATCTGTGGTCGTGGCCATGTAGGCGTGGTGCGGTGGAGGGTGCCAGCACCCCCGCCCTTCCCTTGTGGGTGTGGGGTGGTTCGTCGGCGTCGTCGTCGTCGTCGTTGTCGTTGTCTGCGGCGTCGGCGTCGACGTCTGCGTCGGCGTGGGGCTTCGGCGTCGGCGTCCCCCAATCCCATCTGTGGGGTCAGGGGGCCTGTGGAACCCCAGGACACATCCAATCTGGCGGGGGGGCGTCTGTGAACCCTCGGCCCAGGATCATATACGGTGGCCTTCGGCACATCTCGCCACTGTGCCCAGGTCGTAGACGAAAGGCCAACGGAGGTGGAGGCGGCTGTGGAGGGGGATTGGACAGGGCTAGGACGAGGATACATCCGTTCCAGAGCGTTCCGGGACGCTCTCAGGGCGTTTCTGGACGCTCTGAGAAGGCCGCGGTGCCCGAGACATCCTCCAGAGCCTCTAGATCTCACAGACTTTCGATCTATCCTCGCCCAAATTGGTCCTCGTCCTGGCTTCGTCTTATGTGCAGGGGGAGGACGGGCAGGGGCGCCGCCGACCGCCGCAGGCGGCGTTGCGCGCCAGCCACCGCGCGGGGTGGCGCGACGCGCCGGGCGGGGGCCGCCAGAGGTGGCCGCCTCCCTCGGGAATCGAGGATCGATGAGGAACGAGGTCGAGGATCGCGGATCGAGAAGGATCGCGGAGGAGGGTCGAGGATGGAGGATCGACAAGGAGGAGGATCGACGATGATGAGGTTCGAGGAGGATCGAGGCTCGCTGGTGATCGAGCATAAGGAGGAGGAGAAGGAGGGGGAGGAGAAGGATCGAGCAGGAGAGGGAGGAGTAGAAGGATGATAATGAGGAGTAGGAGGACGAGGATCGAGTAGAAGGAGGAGGACAAGGAGGAGGAGGATCGAGTAGCATCGTGGAGGATCGTCGAGGATCGTGGAGGAGCGAGCATCGAGGGTCGAAGGTCGTGGAGGAATGGGGCCGGGGCGTGCCGGGCGGGGAGCAGGGCCGGATTCAAGGGGTCGGAGGAGCGCAGGAGCAGAGGGCCGCAGCGGCAGGAGCTGCGGTCGGAGCGCGCTCCAGGGCGGGGGGGATGGGGGTGGGGCGTTAAAGGAATGGAGCTTTCGCCTTAGCGCCGCGTGCGTTCGCTTCAACATATCGCAACATGTTCAAGGATGGAGCAGGGATGGTGCATATGGACGGGGGGCAGAGAGGCGTGCGCCCTGATGATCCACCTGCCACACCCTCCAGAAGGTGCCCGAGTCGGGTGACTGCCTCGAAGGACACAACGGTACAGACATTCACTTTCGGAGCTCCGCGCAGATTTCCTGGATCTGCGCTGGACACCCCTCCCCGGCGCACGGAGCGCGCTAGGGGCGGCGCCAGAGGTGCCGCCAGGAGGGAGGTTTGGGATTGGAGGATTCGACGACGCCAAATAGGATTAATCTATGCTGATTCTGGCCAGTCTTTTCCTGGACCTAAAAAAAAAACGTCGTGTACACCCAATCCTGTGCCCAACATCGACGTAGGTGCACGGTTCGCGTCCTCCTCGGGAGGGAGATCGGGGGAAGAGAAGGGGGGTGAAGGATCGAAGGAGCGAGGGAGGATTGAGGACGGAGGAGGGAGTAAGGAGGAGGGGGAAGGAGGGATTCCACGGATGCCTCCATCACGTAGTGATATGATATGATATGATATGATAATGGCACGTCCACTGATCTTGAAGACGTCCGCGACGAAAAGTAGCACGAACCGCTCAAATTGGAGGCACATCTTCCCGAATACCGCGCGCCACCACCTGATAAACCGAAGCCCAAAGCCTACGATTTGAATCACATGCACGCCACCGCCACCAAGCAACAGAAACGTAACACCTCACAGAACCGCCGCTTAGATGGTACTTCTGCAATCCTGAAAACGGCCTTCACCTTATTGGATCTGTGGAGCGCCTCGTCTCCGTCGGCTCCCTTTCCGCACGGGAGGCTGGCCACCAGAACGCGATGCACATCATCGTCATCATCATCATCATCATCATCATCATCATCATCATCATCATCATCATCATCTTCATATTCATCATATTCATCATCGGTATCATCATCATCATCATCATAACCATCATCATAATCATACTCATGATGATAATCCTAGTCGTCATCACCGCACCGTCATCATCACCACTATCACCGTCACCACCACCACACCCATCACGAATCATCATTCCATCATCCCACCACGATCATCGGTCATCATCATCATCAGCATCACCATCACCGTCACCGTGACCATCACCGCCACCATCATCACCGCGCCGAATTGGCGCACCCGCCCTCACCACCACACCATCATCATCATCATCATCAGCAGCAGCAGCAGCAGCAGCAGCATCATCATCGGCATCATCATCATCATCTTCATCATCGCTCACACTCAAACATTCACCCTCACTCTCACACATCCATGTTCAGGACGTCTCGAGCGGGAGCCTCGTCATTGAGTGAGGGAATATCAAGGAAGTCTCGAGCAGGAGTTCCTCCCTATGTGGTCCCCGCCTCCATGTGGGAATCCGAGTGGGGCCACCCGAACATTGTAATTTTCGTCGCTGTTGGGCTCTTCGGGCTTCAATCTGGAGGATGTCTCGAGCGGGAGCCTCGTCAGTGAGCGAGTGAACGGCGAGGACGTCTCGAGCAGGACCCCTTCACTATGAGGTCCCCACTTCCATGCTGAAGTCCGAGCGGGGCCATTCAAACCTTGGAACTGTCGTCACGTTTCGACTCGTCTGGCTTGAATATGGAGGACATCTCGAGCGGACGCCTCGTCAGTGAGTGAAGAGTGAAGACGTCTCGAGCGGGAGCACCTCCCCCACCCCCCTGTGGGGTCCCCGCCCCTATGTTAGAATCCGAACAAGGCCATCCAAGCCCCGTGGCAGTCGTCACCTTTTGGGTTCATCGGGCTTTGAATCTGGAGGGAGTCTCGAACGGGAGCTCGTCAGTGAGTGAATGGCGAGAACGTCTCGAACGAGAGCTCCTCCCTTGGAGGTCCCCACCTCCGTGTTGGAATCCGAGCGGGGCCATCCGAATCATGTAGCCGTCGTCAACTTTGGGCTCGTCGGGTCTGAATCTGGAGGGCGTCTCGAGCGGGAACCTCGTCAGTGAGTTCATGGCGAGGGCGTCTCGGGCTGGAGCCCCCCTCTTTGGGGTCCCCACTTCCACGTTGGAACCCGAGCGGGGCCATCCGAACCATGTATTTGTTGTCACTTTTGGGCCCTTCAGGCTTGAAGTTGGAGGATGCGTCGAACAGAAGCCTCGTCAGTGAGTTTATGGCGAGGGCGTCTCCACCGGGAGCCTCTCCCTGCGGGGTCCCCACCTCCATGTTGGAATCCGAGCGAGGTCATCCGAATCCGCTTGCTGTCGTCGCTTCGGGTACAGTTTCACGCGGGAATCCCTCCCAGTGGTCCCCACTCAAATGTTGTAATCCGAGCGAGGCCATCCAAATCATGGAAGTCTCGCCGCCCTGTGGCTCTTCAGGTCGTGCTCATGTTCAGGCCCGGCGAGCAGGAGATCACGTGGCGGAGCTAGGTCGACGGTTGACACTGATGCACGCGCCGTATCTCACCCTTACGTTGTCGCAGGATCAGACGCTGCGCAAGGGCGTCACCATCGGCTGCGCCAGGGACGAGGACGCTGGCCGCACGGCCATGTCGGACGAGCAGTTGTGGCTTCACCACTACGCCATATTCACCCGCGCAACGTGCGTGCGGACCACGCTGATCCCGCGGCCGCCTTCGCGCGAGTTTCTGGAGCGCGGGCCGCCAGCGCGCTTGCGGAAGGCGTTCGGGGAGTTCGAGAAGAGATCGGAGAGCTCCAGGGCTGAGGCGGGGCATCTCGCGGTAGAGCTAGGCATCGCGCTGTTTCCCGCCTGGGCGCGGCGCCGCCCCGCTCGGAGCCCGCGGGGTTGTCTCAACGGCTTGGTCCCGCGCCCCAGCGGCTCAAGGGGTTGCCCCGATGGCCTGGCATGCGGGGTTGCCCCAACGGCTGCGCGATCCGGCCATCGGAGAACGCGCCCCTGCCGGCCGTAGCGGCGACGGCGCCAAGAGAAATCAGTTTGCGCGCCCTTGCTTGATGGGCGGGGGGGAGCGTGGATGGGGAAAAGAGGCAGGAGGACGAGGAGTAGGCAGAGCAGGAGGCGGGACGAGGGCCTCAGCCAGGGCGAGAAGAGAAGGGCGATGGGGAGACAGGAAGAGAGCCTTTGGCATTCACAAGGAAGGAGGCGATGATATGTACTTCCAGATTTGTTTGGGAAGTCCCCACGCGGGTTCCTACCGTTGGAGTAACTTCAAAACGCAAGGCCTGGGTGGTCTTCACTCCATTCCGAGGACCAGATGTTTATCCAGGGTCGTTTTTGACAGCCCGACAAGTTCGCCCGTAGGCCGAGCAAGGCCGCACAGAAGCAATCCATCATTTGTGTGTCATTTTAATCACGCAGATGGGTCTGCGCCGTCTTCTCTGTTTCGGCTTTCGGCTGTGCATAAGAGTAACCCTTCGCTGGTGTGACCTACGATGCGGGTGCAACGGGTTTTTTCCTCAGTGCTGGCTCGCGGGCGCGGTGTCCCGGTCCCCACCTTCCCCCCCGCGACCAACCTAAAGCCGAACACCAGAGGCCATGTTGGCCTGGGATCACTCTTGGGTGCACTTGGCACCCGCCTCCGCTCGGCGCAACGCTGGGGGGTGAGACGGTCAAGAACTTTGGATCGCGTATCGTTCGGGCCGCCGCGGCGACACGTTATCCACAACTTCTTGACCGGATGCACAGATGGGGACGCATCGGCCCCGAATCGTCCAATCATCGCCGATGGGGGCCTTGCGGCCCGCCCCGCCCAAGAACGTGTGGTTTCGCACTGTGGGCCCTATCGCCGATCTATCGGCGATACATTGCCGGTTCCAAGTCGACGATTCCTCCCTGAGTCGGCCTTCCCCCGACGCTGTTTTGCCGGCTTTCTGGCCATAGTTCGGCTCTATGGCGGCATTTCGGGACAATCTGGCCAGCCTCGGAACGACCTCGGCGAGGCACGGCCGCTGGAGGCCATCCCGACGTTGGGGAACCGCCAAAAGCTTGGTTACGAGGACGTCCGAAAACCTCGAACCTCGAACCTGTCGCCCCCCCTGAGCCTCCCGATGTCCCCCCCCCCCTCGTCGTTGCCCCTCGCCCCCAGGGCAACCCGCTGGAGGCGGCCGCGCTGGCAGTGGGCGCGGGGCTCGCCGCGATCGGGCGCGCCTTCAGTTCCCTGGCCGACGTCTCAGGCGGAGCGGGGCCTTTAGCTCTTGTCCTCCGCGCGCGCTCCTCCAGGTCGCTTGTCAGAGTTTAGTGGGCGGTGCCTGTCGAAGACGAGACACGGCATATCCACGATTTTGCGGAGCTCAGCGCGAGTTGTTTGGGTCGGCGTTGGATCCAACAAGTCCGTGCGAAACTCCAGCAGTGTATGATCATGCAGGTGTTTCTGCATCAATGGACGGCAAGTGATCCTCCAGGAAACATTATGTAAATGATGCATGTTCGCCCCCTACCAAGATCTACCTGGCCACATCTGCTTATATGCCTGTTCCGCCTGCACCAGAACTCCCCTCGGCAACGCACTCTTTGCATAACGTTGCGACGCTGCAGTTGACGTCGCGGACGACGACGACACTGGCGCTGCTGCTTTTAGTGTCTCCGAAACAGATCGCACTCCTCCCAGGTGCAGATCTGACAGCCCCGACGCGTCTGCATCGGCGCGACACAATGGCCCACAACAGCGGGCCCTCTCTGAGAACAGACCCGGTAACGTCTTAGTCATGTGGACCACGTAGTCATGAAGCATCCCAGCGACCTTGAGCTTGTATGCGCGGGCGCCGCCCGTGTGAAACATGCCGTTGTGGTTATGGAGGCGCATCTGCGCAAACTGTTCCCACCCTTCCTCCCTGATGGGACCTGGCCCAGGCGCCCGAGTCACTCTCAGCTTGGGTTTTAGACGCGTCAAGATGAGCGTCCGCGGGGCCCCGCGCTGCTGAACGCCGCCCCGCTTTTCTTCCTGAGGTTAACCTCGTCTGCCTCGACGTCTTCCTACGTTGTCTTGCCTGGGTCACTGCCGAACTTGATGGCCTTCTCCATCCCCTTCACGTAGAGACTGCGGGCCATGTCGTTCGCGCGGTAGATGTCCCCGACCGTTTTGTGGTTCAGGCCCGTCAGACAGCGGGCCGTGGATTGAGGAACGATCAGGATTGTGCAATGCAGTGCCGCGGCCTGGTCTTGAAGCGGTGCCTGTTTGGGTCCATTCGCGGCAGGACCAGCTTTGGACACTTCTTCGCGCGACACCTCCACCGCTTTCCCTGCCTGTCAATGAGCGCCAGAGGTCCGAGGACTCCACGCTTGCAGAAAAGTGCACTGCCAATCAGTCATGTCCTGCAGGATGCCGTCGCCGACCAGCATGTCCACGATGCCCTGGCCGCCTTCCGTGTATAAGTCCTTCAAGCTCCTGCTTACGACTTGTTTCTCTCTCCGAAATTTCACTGTCTTCAAGCCGTGCCTGACGTACGGGATATTCGCCTTCTTCTTCTTCTGCTTCTTCATGGGCCGCTTCACGTGCGTCTTCCTGACGAGGCGGCCCTTTCCCCTCTTGGGGGCGGGCCGCACGGGTGCTCCGCTACGGAGCGCCGCCGTAGGCTGACGAAGCGCCGCCTGTCGCTTGCCGCGAGGACAGATCCGCTGCGCCTTGATCGCCTCCATCGCCCCCGCGACCGCGCCCGCCATGTAGGGCGCCCGCGGGATGCGCGCCTGTCGACCTCCGCAAACCAAAGTGCGGCATTGGGGGCGTCGGGCGAAATGCTTTTTGCGATTGTCAAACTTGATACCCGTGGGAACAGACTAGATTGGTTTGCTCTCTGCACAGGCTTTCTGCAGATGTGCAGAAGGGAACACATAACATGACGAACGACGACGACCGGATTGGATGACCATGAAACATGTTTTGACACGTCAGTTTGCACGTCCGTGGGAACAAGAGGCAACTGGCAAGCTGGCTACGCAAGCGAGCCAAAACCCGCCGTAGCTCTAGCCTTGCAGAGGAACGCTGCCCTCCGCATCAATATCCCCTGCCTCGCCGGGATCCACCTCCGCGCAACGCAACGCCCGATCGGCCCAGGGCCGGTCCTGCTACAGAACTCGGGATAAACATGCACGGCGACAGTACCTTTGGAACGCCACCGGAAATTCACCTCCGAGTCTACGTCCAGCACGTCGTCTTTATCGGGAATTGTGGTGCTCCCGTCTGAATTGGAATCTTAGTAACCATCAGAGTCAGCTTCGCTGTCCTCTTCTGACTCCTGTCCATCTGTATTCTGCTCTGTCATGAACTCGTCTTCGTCAAGCTGATCGTCCACTGAATCGTGGTCAGACTCCCACGAGCAATCCTCCTCGGTCGGCATGGCGAAATCATGATTTGAGGCGGTTCCTTGAAGCAAGCTCTGATCATTTCTCATCGCATCTTTTGCGGGCCTCGTAGGACATTTCGTCGAGGGCCCATCTGTGTCATTGCGCAAGTCTACTGGGCGCCCGTGCTCGCAGAGGAGTTCAAGACTGTCTCCCCATGGGGGCGCTCGCTGGTGTCGTCCATGTTGGAGCGAGTGGGAGGCGCGGGCGACGCCCCGTCGGTACTGCCAGCAGCGCGACTCAAAATGCCCTGCTGAGGTGGAGGAGATGGCGGCGTCTTGTGGGCGAGCTTGCGCCGAAAGGCCAGGGGGCCGACGTCCGGGGCGAAACTGCTCCGCTTCGTGCTGGTGCCCGCCACGGATGGCGGCTGCGCCGACGCCCTCGGCGTCGGGTTTCCCGACGCTAGCGCGCTCGGAATTCAATTGCCAGCCGTGCCGCCAGGGCTGCGCTGGAGTGGCTCATTGAGCTCCTCGCTCGCCTTGTGGACGTAGCCGACGGGGCGGCGGGACGCATGGGCACGTCTTACTTCGCGAAGGCCGCGTCGATCATGTTCTGCTCCTGCTCGTTGCGGGTCTGGCAGTCCGCTGGCAATGCGTGGGCACCCATCTCGAACTTGTTGAGGAACTGCTTGTTCGTCATCAGTGACGCGGAACGCGGGAGCGTCTTCGTCCTTTCTTGGCAGCCTCAGGTACACGCCGTGCTCCCCGCCAATCATCGCGATTGACTTCTTCATGGTAGCCCTCGAGGCGAGCATTGGACGCAAACCCAACTGCTGTTCGCATCTTCTTGTAGAACGAGCCGCGCGGTATCTCAGGACCAACGTCTGTTTCAGGCTAGTCTTCTGCGTTGGCGTCGTCGTCCGCGATGCATATTATTTTGTTCCGGTGGAACTTGCAGTCGTTGTGGCGCGCGTCAGCCGCGGTGTCTTCCGATGCGTCGGAGAAGCTCTCGATGAATGATATCTATGTTCTGAAGATCAGCGTCGCCGAGAAAGCGCGCTCCCCCCTGACCGAGCTCACGGTGACGGATAGCGTTGAAACGTTTACCGCGGCGTCACCCTGGCCTGCCAGTAGCGCCGCGTTTGCGGACCATGTGCCGCCCAATTGCCATGGCCAGAGTGATGAACGCTGGCGTCTTCCCATGACCTGGCCACCCCAGGAGGGCGATGCCGAACTGCAGAAGCAACGGCATGATCATTGGCGCGATCGTGTTCGCAAGCACGGGCCTGAGGTCGCCCGCGAGCATGGGGTAGTGTGACTGCGTCTCTGCGTCCACTTTTTCCCCCGCCTTGCCGTTAGCCATGAAACGAATATTGTGCTCTGGTCATCCCGCGATCGGCGTGTCAGACCCGTCGCGGATGCTATTTAGCACCCACGACGCCATTTGGTTCTGGCTGTCGGGGGCGTGCCGACTGCATTCGATGCCAGATTTCAATTCGTCTGGGGGCGCGTTCCACGGGCCGCCCCCCCCCCCCCCCCGCCGCCTTGTTTTGAGCGCGGCTTCAACGAGGCCCGCGTCGCGAACTTGCCGGCGATGCCGCTCGTCATGCGGTGCAAAACCGTTTTGGCCTTCCACGGCCCTAGGCGGTGCGCGCGCGCCATCGCCGCGCCCGCGCGCGCGGCGCGAGCCTCGGAGACGGGCGCCGGGGATTTGCATCTATGGTCTAGATGATGGCCATGGCGTCGTCGGCCTCGCACTGCGCAAGGACGTTCGCCTGGGAGCTCTCCGGCAGGGGTGGCTGGCAATCGGTTGCCTTGCGCAGATAGGTTTGCATTTTTTTTTTTTTTTTTTTTTTTTTTTTTTTTTTTTTTTTTTTTTTTTTTTTTTTTTTTTTTTTTTAAAAAAAAAAAAAAAAAAAAAAAAAAAAAAACATATTTATATATATGTGTATCGAGAGAGAGGAGAGAGAGAGAGAGAGACAGAGCGAGAGAGAGAGAGAAACAGAGAAAGAGAGAGAGTGAGAACAAACAAACAGAGACGACATTTCATAAAAGAAGGGATGCCAATCGATTCTGGGAACGGTTAAAAGCTGCGAATGTGGAGAAGCATCGACGCAGGGGAGAAGGAGGACCGCCTGCGGCATGGTGGCGTAGGCCTTCGCCTGGATGTCCTTGACGAATTCGGCCCACTCCTGCTTCGGGGCGTTCTCCTGAATGTCGAACAACACCCGGACTGCGCGGACGCCGTCTACGGGGCGGGGCGCCGCGGCATGAAATTGGCGAACTCGATCTGGCCTTCGTGAACTTCCCCGACCGCGCTTTCGTCGTCGCTCGCGACGTAGGCGTAGTTCGCAAAGGTCCCTCCAATCTCGTCAAAGAGGTCTGCCAATATTCAAGGTGGCAAAGTCGGAGGCGACTACGACATCGAACGCGCCAACAGGGTTGCGCACTCCCGCGTTTGAGCTACTGCTACGGCAAGCTCTGCTGGCACGCGCATTGATACGCATGGGCGGACAGAAAGTCCAACGCCAGCCCAGCGGTAGGACAGATGGAAAACCCAAGCGGTAAGGAGACTGCAGGGATGCAAGGTGGAATGCCAGGCCCTGGCAAGGCAATCAACGCAAGGATGCAGAAACGTGCAGAACCCAGGTGGTGAAGTAACGGCAAGGATGAAAGGTGGGGCGCAATGCCCAGGCGAGGCGACACCTACATTGGTGCAGGACAGCACCGCTGGACCGCTGGGTGAGATGCAAAACCCAGGCGGTGAAGTAACTGCAGGGGTGCGGGGTGGCATGCGCGAACCAGGCAAGGCAACAATATGTAGAGACGCAAGCACGCACGAAAGTCCTTCATGGAACAAGAAAGCAGGAGCGCAAGAAAGTCGCACTGATGCTTGCTGTGGTGGCGACGAAGTGCAGAGTGACGGCGATGCTTGTGCTTGGTCGTTCACCGCCAGAGCGGCCAGTTGAGCTAGTTCGCATATACTGGGATGCAAACCCAGGGAAAGAAACTAACTGCAGGGATGCATAGGTGGCATGCCATACCCTTGCAATGAAGACACCGCAGGGATGCAAAGGACCCGCATGGATGGCCGCTGCGATGGCGACGATCTGAAGAACGATGGCCCCGCCTCTGCTTTTTTGCTCATGGCAGAAGCGGCTGTCTGAGCTAGCTGGTTTATCCATATTATACAAGGGCGACGATGGCTCAAGCGCAGCACCGCGCAGCGCACACTCAGGCGCCCTCCATCTTCTGAACCTCAAGCTTCAAGCGCATGGCGGTCGTTCTTCTCGTGCAACTCCTTCTGGCTCCCCTGGAGCTGCTCTTTCTCCATCTGCAGCTTATCCTTGTCCTCCTGGAGCCGCTCGTTCTGCTCTCGTAGTAGCCGGCTGTCCAGCCGAAGTGTTTTCTCGAGCGTGAGAGCAGCCTCGGGCTGCTCTTTGAGGCCCTTGTAGTCCTCTGTTGGCGCCTCGCTCTCCTCGTCCGCGTTGTCGTCTGGAGGCGCTTCGTCCTCCTCCTTGTCGCTGCTGCCCTGCCCGTCGCTCTCGTCGCTCTCGTCTGTTGTCCGAGCTGGGGTCGTCGTCGTCGTCCTCCGACGCCGCTGCCTGCGCGGGCTGCGGAGGCGACGGCGGCGCAAGTAGCGGCGCAGGCGCAGGCTGTGCCAAGAGTCTGCCTCACGGCGTTTGGGCGCGCGATGTCTTCGAAGAGGTGCTGCCAGCTCGCCTCCGATCAACCCCCGCCGAAACCCGTCGGCAGAAGGTGGAGCCTCTGCGCGTTATTCTTTTATCTGGGCGTCTCTCTTAAGCAGGGGCACGCGGGACGGGTGCACAGCGACACCGTCGGCATCGATGCGAGCAAGGACTTGGTCGTGCGCGGGTGGGTTCTTGACCACGGGCGCCTGTTCAGGATGATCTGGGGCGGCCAGTTGCAGTTCGAGCCTGGCACGGCCATCCGCGCTGAGCTGTGCCTACCCACCTTGGATGTGAATCGCGTGAAGGATTTAGCAGCAAGCTGGCAAAAGCTAAATCTGATCAAACCCTTGCAGAACAGGAGCTTGAGCCAATCTGCTTACGTATAATTGAATACAAGGCCGAGCTTGGGCTCAGGGTCTTTATTCTCCCTCTTCCTCCTCGTCCAATCTCCCTTTCTCCTCTTGCTTTCTCCTCCTTCATCTTCCTCCTCCCTCTTCCTCCTCCCTCCTCCTCCTCCTCCTCGTTCATCCTCCTTTCTCTCTCCTCCATCGTCAATCCTCTTTCATGTCCCTGCTCCTCCTCGTCTTGCTCCTGCTCCTGCTCCTCCTCCTCCAACTCATTACCCTCCTTCTCCCCCCTCCTCCCACCTTCCTCCTCGCTCCTCCCGCCTCTCTCCTCCCTCCTCCCTCCTCGCTGGACGTTTTCCGCGGCATTATGTTCCTCCCCAGACGCTGATTGCCACATTCTGTAGGCCTCCGCGGCGCACGCAGCCATCTGCAAACGTTTTCAAGCATCGCCTTTTGGACTTCGCGGTTGCCCCACGTCCACCCCAATCTTCCTTGACGATTCTCTCTCCTTCTCTCTCTCTCTCTCTCCGTCCCGGTGCTGGACTTGAATCTTGAAGAATGCAGAACACCTATACCCGCGCTTCTTCAAACAAGGTGCGGCTCATCATTGAAGGTTGAAGATTGAAGAGCATAGCGAGCGTATGCCAAATAATCTTCAATCAGCGTGCAAACTCGGTGTTTGAAAAACCGCAGACAGAAGTGCCAAGCAATATTCAACCTTCAATCTTCAAACAGAGCCGCTTACTTAAGGCTCTTATCCTACACACACCTGTTTGAATAATCGCAAAGATGAGTGTTCAGACATCTACACTCCTCAGTATTCAAAAAGGGTCGCCAAAGGCTCCTACCCAACACACAGCCGCTTGAAACATCGCAGACAAAAGTGCCAAACAATCTTCAATCTTCAACCTGCAAACCGAACTGCCGACGGCTAGTTTTCAAACGTCTTAGAACGACTGGGGGCGTTCTGTTTTAAAAATGTCCACAGCAAGTGCGTTATGACTTTCGATCTTCAATCTTCAAACCGGCAGCGAGACAGAGAGAGGGGGTGGCGCCGAGGTAGATTTTGGCGGTGGGGGGGGGGGGGCATCCATGTATGTATATATATATATATATGTGTACCGTACGCATGCGAACCATGTTCGCTCTTAAGAACTGCACCAGCGGCTGGCCTGTAGGGGAGGGTGGAGGCGGGGGAGGATTCCTTTTTTCTGCGCGCTGCTCTCGAATGCTCAATGTAATGGTTGGGGGCGAAGGCCTGGCCCCCTGTGCCGAGGAGGAGGAGGAGCAGGATGCGGAGGAGGACAGAACGGAGGAGTCAGGAGGGTGAGAGAGAGCGCGAGGTTCGACGAGTGAGACCGGAGAGGAGTAGGATAACAATGAGGAAGCGGAGGGCGGAGCCGAAGGGTCGTTGGAGAGAAGCAGGGTGAGGATGAGGAGGACGAGAAGGAGGAGAAGGCGGAAGGGGAGGAGGAGGAGGAGGAGGTCGGGGAAGGGAAGGACGAGGACGAGGAGGAGGAGGAGGAGTGATAGGGACGAGGTGGGAAGTGAGATGTCAGGAGGGTAAGCGCAAAAAGCAGGAGGGGGACAAGGGGAAGTAGGAGGGCATAATGATGATGACAGGGAGGGGGAACATAGTCAAACGGACAGGCAAGGATACAGGAGGTGATGAAGAGTAAGTCGGGAGCGACGGCGACGGACTGGACAACGACGGCCGCCCGCCAGCAGATGTCTATGTCCACCCTGGATTTCGCGGTGTCGTCACCATCGTGGCCGCTGCCGTCCTCGCTATCGTAGCCGTCGCCGTCGTCGTCGTCTTCGTCGTCGTCGCCGCCGCCGCCGCCGCCGCGGCGGCCGCGCAGGGGGCCCGTACCTCGGAGTGCGGAGGACCGGAGAGCTGCTGCAGGCCGCGGGCGTATGCGGCTGGCCCGCTGGCAGGAGGGAGGGGGAGGAAGGCGGCTGGTGGGCGAAGAGAAGTGAAGCTGATGTGAAGGAGTATGGCTGCGAGGCGAGGAGAGGATCCGGGAGGGAGAACGCTGCCGTTGGTAGCCCGGCTGCGTGTTATTCATTCGTTCTCGTCCGAAGTCCTGGTGTCTTTTTCAGCAGCAACATACTGGTGGATTCCCCACGGTGGCGTGCCGTTGATATTGTTGCCGTTCCCGGAAGGATGCGAGAAAGGATAGCGTAAATTCGATTTGCGTCAACGACGTTGCAATATACCCTCTCGTCGGTCCCAATCAATGTGTTCTCATTGCCGGAAGTGCCCAACTGGAAGTCAACCGTCCGAGAACCTTCAATCTGAACAAAAACCAATTCCTTGGACTTGAGCGTCGCGAATCAGCATGGCACTTGCGTCTTGACAGTCCTGAATCATGCGACCAGGAGGAGGAAGAGGAGGAGGAGGAGGAGGGAGGAAGATGTGTCCGTCTGGCCCCCCCCCCCCCCCCGCGGGCGGTGCCTCACCCCACGGCCTTACCTCTGGTGGTGGCGTCAGTGGTACGGGGCGCCACCCACCATGGAGGCCTAGAGTGGTGGCCAGTGAACCTGTCCGCTGAGGCTGCGTCCAGGAGAAGGAGGATGGTCAGGAACGCGTGATGGGTGGAGGAGGAGGATGCGGAGGAGGAGGTCTCCGCGCTTGTCTCTTGGATTGCGCCGGCCCCTTCTGGCGGCGCCTCCGGCTCCACCATTTGCGCGCTCCGTGCGCCAGGAAGGGGGGTTCAGAGCAGGTAAAAAAAAATCCGCGTGGACCTCCAACAGTTTATGTCGCATGTTGTTCCTCTAGAGGCGGGGATGCGGAGGAGGAGGTGTGGAGGGTGGAGACGGCGTGATGAAGGTGGGGAGGTGGAGGATCGGGGGCCAGAACAGGCGACCGTAGTAGGTGCATGGCCAGGAGGAGGAGGAGCAGCTGGAAGATCAGGGAGGGAGGGTCGGAGAGCTGGATAGCGTACGAGCCGGCTGCGTCAGTTTGGGCGCTGGACGCAAGGTTTGCGGTGGGGTTGCCGTAGTGTCGTCGTCGTCCACATGGGCGCGTCGGGAACAATCGGGAATTTGGAAAAGAAGAAGTTGGTGGAGAAGGGGGGCGTGGAAGTCGAAGCGGAGCTGGGCAAGGAAGAATGGGGTGGCAGTAGAGCTGGATGTGGAACTAGATGCGGATCGTGGTAATACGTTGATGGTAATGACGGGAACGATCAGGAGGAGGTCGAGGATGAGGCTGAGGAGGCGAAGGAGAACGACGTGGATGAGGGTGGCAGTAGATTTGGATGTGGGACTACATATGGATGGTGGTGATGCTGTTGATGGTGTTGATGAGGAGTGGAAGGAGGTCGGTCGAGGATGAGGCTGAGGAGGCGAAGGAGAAAGACGCAGACGTGGAACGCATCGGCAGGATCAGGAGACCCACTTGTATGTCCGTGGGTCGCGTTCAAGGCAAACCTGTGCTGCTGCACATCCACCGTGCAGCGTGGGGGAGACAACGAGCCCGATGTGCACCTTTCCTGGTGTAGTCTCCTCCTGCCCCTCCTCCTGCTCCTCCTCCTCTTCATCCTCTGTCTCCTCTGTCTCCTCTGTGCTTCTCCCGCCTCGAGGCTGGATGCATGGGTCGGATCGAGGGTCGTGGATTGAGTCTTTGAGGGTTAGCGCTTCCGGGGGCCTCCAGACGTGTTGTAAAGTAGTTCTGGGAAGCTGGATGGATTCGATCCGGCCAGATGGGGGGGTTGGAGCGGCAGCTATATACACGTGTGGCCGCACGTCTGCGGAACACTCGGCCCTCGCGAGTCTGTGCACGCTCGCCCTCCTCTGGTGCATCCAGCGCTTGGCCTCTGGCATGTTTCCCAGATGTAAGATTAAGCCGTGCCCCGATGTCCGACGTTCTGATTTCGTTGTTGGCTTATATCTTCTTCGTATCCGCCGTCTTTCTCTCTCCCGTGGACAGGTCTCTCGTCCTGTTTTTTGTGGGCCTGGCGCCACCCGAAACTGGATCTGCGACGATGTGTAATTTTCGAGCCTCATGGCCCCGGTTGTCTCGACCACTTCCTTACAATCGTAGGTTGACGGAGCCCCATCCTAACAGGTCGATCAGCGATTGCCTTGCTTCGGTTTTCGAGATGGTGTTTTGGCTTGGTCATTTAACTAAAAGGCTGTGTTGATGAAGGGGCGTCCGACAACCCAGGATAGGACAGGCTGTTCATCCCGACTAGTCATGGCTGACGGACCCATGGCCCGGTGAGTTTTTTCTTTGCAAACGCAGATGATGTTCAGTATCGTTTCACAAATCCCCATCCCACGTGGCCATGGTATCTCAGCCCAATCATCCCACCACCCCTTTTAGGGATAGGCCCCTCGAAACCCGAAGGAAACTGGCGGCATCCCCACCTTAGGAGGTCTGAGGGGGCGAAATCGGCCAGTGGGGTCCGGGCCTCAGCAGGGATAGGGATCGGTTAAGGGAGGCTCAGATGCAGGGAAACCTCAGACTCGATACGTTCGAGTATCTGGAGGCCAGGGATGCTGGCCTCCAGCGGCCAAAGTCCATGGGAAGAGTGTCCGTCGCGAGGTCTGCTGTAACGCTGAAGTCAGGAGGGAGTAATCGAGACACAAACTAACGTCGACGTCCACGAAGGTATAAGAAACTATGGGATACCCAGGGGAAACCGAACATCCAGACAATATGTAAACATATAGACGAAGTTCTGGAATGTGTCTCCCTGGTTGCCTTTATGAAGGGCTGGGTCCTGGGGTGTGCTCTGGCCAGAAGCTCGAGGGGAGCCCTGCTACTGCAGTTGGTATTCACTGGCCATGCTCTGGAAACTCGCCGAGAGCCCTCTCTCGGGCATTGCTTCATTGCCCGCCTCGTGAGGTCCTGGTCTCGGTGGGTCGCTGGCAAAGGTGCCCGCTCGTGGAGTACCCGTCAGGCTGGCGCTGAACGGACAGTGAAACTTACAGCAACAATATGTATCCTCGATCCCCCGATTCACGAACCTCGATCGATCAAGCGTCGATCCTCGATCCCCGAGTCCTCGATCCCTGATCCCATCTAGCATGGATCTCCGATCCCATCGAAACTTGATTCTCGAGCAAGGGTCTTCCATCTTCGAACAACGGGCCTCCCCTCGACCCCGAACCTGAATGCAGCCTCCTGGCTGCCCTGCGCACCCCTCTCCCAACAGTCCCGGCTGGCCGCCGACGACAGTGCGGACCCGGGCCGGAGCGGCATGGCTTGGGAGTACCTCGCGAAGGGCGAGGCGCTCATGGAGCGCCCCGCGCGCCCCTGCGTCGCGGCCTGGCATTGGAGGGATGAGGCGGGTGGCTGGGAGAGGAGGGCGAGGTGAAGCTGGAGGGAAGGAGGAGGATAAAGAGGCGAGGGGAGCATGCGGGAGGGAGAAAGAGTGTCACTGGCATGCTGGCGTTGGCAGCCCGTCAGCCTGTTACTCATGGGTTTTCGTCCGAACGCCAGGTGTTTTTCCAGTAGTAGCCCGCTGATGAGCTCCCAACGGCTGCATGTCATTGATCTTGTTCTCGCTTCCCCAAGGACCCGAGAGAGGATGAGGAGGATGAGGAGGAGGAGGACCAGCGTGAACCCAAGACGCATCAACGATGTTGCAGGAATCCCTCCCTCGGAGCTCGTCCATGGGCCAATCCAATAATGTAGCCCAATTGTGGGAAGTGGCCCATTAGAAAACAGTAAGATGATAATCTTACACTGTGCCAAAACACCATTTTGGGGACTTCAACTCCGCAGATCAGAATGACTGTTGCGCCCCGACAATCCTAAATTGTGCCGTGACACCAGCCTGTGATTCAAAAACCGCGAATCAATATGACTGTTGCGCCCTGGCCATGCTGAGTCGTGCCAAAACACCAATCCTGGGCTTTCGACGATACGAACCATTTATACAGTTGCAAACTTGTGCTACGAATGTGTGGGGCGCTTAGGCGAGAGCCACGTTGTGAAGAGGAGCCGCCCTCCAGCTTTGACACGGTAGCAAATCTTTAAAAATGAATGTGCGCGGCGCTAAGGCGAAAGCCAGATATTGAAAACTGCCAGCCCTCCATCCGTGAAGCTGTTGCAAGTCTTTAACACAAATGTGCGCGGCGCTGAGGCGAGAATCACAGTTTGAAAACAATACGCCCTCCACCCACGAAACGGTTGCAAATTTTCAGGCGAGCGCGCTGCGTTTAATTAGGGGGAGCCACATTTTGAAAACCACCAGCCATCCATCCATGAAGCTGTTGCGAACGTTTAGCACGAATGTGCGCGGCGTCTAGGCGAGAGCCACATTTTGAAAGCCACCCGCCCTCCATCAGTGATCTGGCTCGAAACTTTCAAGGCGAAGGTGAGTGGCGCTGTGACGAGAACCGCACGATGAAAATGATTCACCCTCCATCAGTGAAACCATTGCAACATTCAAGCTTCAGGATCAGAAATTGCCAGGAAGTCTCTGGCGAATCTCCCGGCCCGCTCTACCGACTCGTCTGGGGGTGCGACAATGTGGAAGTAGTTTTTGTTATAGAAATGGATGGAGGAGGATTATAATGATGAGGAGGAGGAGATAGGAGACAGGAGAGATTCAAGCTTGGTGCGCTCGCACCACATCTGATATCATAACCCTCCTTCACATCCCTTGCCATTGCGCTGATTTTTTGCTCTATCCGCGGACGCGTGTCGTAACCGACCTGGAACCCCTATCACCCCAGCAAATCGCCTGAATAGCAGCAACGGTGGCCTGTGGGGCAGGCGATAGTTGTGGGACTGGTACGATCTGTGTGACATGTGGAACCTGTCATACTTTTGTGGCCTGTGGGGCGTGTGGGACATGTGGGACCTGTGGGGCATGTCGGATGTGTGGATATGTGGGAATTGTGGGACCTGCGGAGAGTGTGGGACCTGTGCGACTTGGGGGGCTTCTGTGGCCTGTGGGATGCCACACCTGTGTGACCTGTGGGACCTGCGGGATCTGTCGGACATGTGGAGCCAGTGCGACCTGCAAAACCTGCGACACATATGGGACCTGTGGGACCTGCGGAATCTGTCATATTTGTGGAACGACTTGCGACACGTGCGGGTCATGTGGAATTCGTGGGGTCTGCGAGACTTGCGAGACCATCTGGACCTGCGAGACCTGTGGGATCCAGAACAGAGGCCAGGCTCGGGCGAGAATGCCATTCTGTACGACGGGAGCACAACGCCGATCCAAAATGAGGATCACGCTGCAGCGAGAGCACCACTTGTAAAATACAACAAGCAATCGGATTCAAACACACACCTGACAATAGATAACTGTTCGGCACAATCCTGCGTGGACCAAAACAAGGAGCGGTTGAGGGTGGGAGATCCCTGGACAACAGCAAGGGAGAGAGAAGAGTAGTACTCATATGAGGCAGTTGTAGTGAGGCGGAGGGTGAGGAAGGTGAGTAGGAGAAGGATGATGGGGGAGGAGGATGAGGAGGGGGAGGCGGAGGCGGAGGACGAGGAGAAGGAGGAGGAGGAGCAGGAGGAACGGGCGGATGGGAAGGAAAGACAGGAGCAGGAGGGCGGGGAGGAGGTGGGGGAGTGGGACTGGTAAGGAATCTGGAAGCAAGATGCGCAGGAGGGAAGGAGGCAGGGAGGGAGGATGTGGATAAGGAGGTGGAGCAGAATTCGAGGTGGAGGACAAGGATTATGAGTATGATTTTGATGAGGAGGATGGGATGGAGAGAAACCGTGGAGGAAGGTGCGGAAGAGGATCAGCAACTTTATATGATTTTGAGTAAACACTTCTTGCGCAGGGCGAGGTGGGGAGTTCAGCGAGTGACATCTAAGGCTGCGCCATGGCCGCAACCCACCTACTGCTACCCTACCCTTTTCCCTTAACCTCCCTCTCGCCCTCCTGATCCCTCCTTCCCCCGACCGCTCCCCTGTGTTCCTCCTCCCCCGTTCCTTCGACGGTTTCTGCGGGACCATATTTTCATCCTGTGGTGTTTCTTCACTGTGTTGGAGTCTGAAAAGGAATTTGCGAAGGCCGAAAATATCCACCCGAAATTTAGAAATTATACCAGAGAGAATCCCCAATTATATTCTTTTTAGGGCTGTAGGCTATAGGGCTACAGGGCTGGGCTCTTGGGCGCTATATGGGCTATATGGCTATATGGCTATATGGTTATAGGGCTATAGGGCTATAGGGCGATAGGGATATAGGGCTATAAGGCTATAGGGCCACAGGGCACCCGGCACCCGGGCACCTGGCACCCGGCACCCGGGCACCCACACGGGTACCGGGCACCCGTCACCCCTGCAGGCACCCGGGCACCCGGGCACCCGGGCCCGGCCACCGAATCGGCGGCGAACCCGGGCACCTGGGCACCTGGGCACCCGGGCACCTGGGCCCGGCCACCGAATCGGCAGCGAACCCGGGCACCCGGGCACCCGGGCACCCGGGCCCAGGCACCGAGTCGGCGGCACACCTCACCTACCCTTAAATCCGCTAGGAAACCTATACAGGGGCAAGCTCTGATTGGGGAATGGATTCGCGACGCGAGGGGGCCTGGGCACGGAGGTTTAAACATGGACTTGTCCTGGGGTGCGGTCTGGCAAGCGATTCGTGGCGGGACCAGCCGTGGCCACGAGGAGGCCCAGAGCAGACCAGAAACTTCGAAACACCATCGGACCTCGAAGGTCCCCCGTTCACCGTCCACCCGATCGCCCACCCGCCCGATCTGCCAGCGGCCCCTCCGCCTCTCCTCTCCCCACTCGGCGAGGACGTGCGCCTCGAGCACGGCGGCTCCCTGCAGGTGACGAGCCACGCCGCCTCCGAGCGGGGGCCCCCTCCCGGCGAGTCGGCGGGAACCCGGCAGGACCGCCGCCGCCGCCGATCGGCTGCGCGCACGAGTGACAGCTCGCCGGATGGACCTTTGGGTGCTGTAAGCAGTCACAGGTGACTTTGCGTGTAGCCGAACAGACCACGCTTCAGGCCGATCGGCCTCTTCGTTTCATCGTACCAGCTTTGAGGGCGTGCTCGGCGTCGCATGGTTGATGAATGGGATGCCGCCCGGATCAGGCCTTACTGTAACTTCGCTTGTGGTCGTTTCAAATCTTCTTCGGATCTGACTGGAGACAGGCCCTGAGGTCCGAGAAATGTGGCGTCGTCGGAGGTCTCAGCCACAGGCTATGTACTCGTGCCTACAAGTGCGCTCTTTACGTCATGGCGAATGGCAGCGTGAACGGGCTTTGGTTGGCCGAGAAGCGGGTCGTAGCTGGCTGCTCCATGGCGACCACCTTCGTCAGCATCTGTCTGAACCTGGAATGAGATCGCCCTAATCTCCCAAGACCTAGCACGTTAGGCGCCTACACGGACTATTGTGTTCTCAGTTGTGTAGATTCCGAGGAGACGGTGGTGCGTGATCTGACCGTGGCGTCCAGGTCCAGGGCCCTCCACAGGACCCCCACCCTCGACTCCGGATGGTCTCTGTGGATCGATCGCAAGAGTGGTGTCACGGCTGACGAGGCTTTCCAAGTTTCGTTCTCTGCGAAGGTTGCGCAGTGCGGAGGAACCACGGGAGGCTCTCGGTGGAGTTGCTGGGCCCATCACGAGGATGGTCGCCAACCAGGGTATCGACGGCACTAAGGGGAAGGCCAGACGAACCAGAGGGAGAGGATCGCGTCACAAGCTTCGCCTTGCCAGTCAATCGTCGTGCTCGGTGGGCTATGGCACCTCCGCAGATCCGTCGGTGAGACCATGCAGCCATCGGTTGGAGGAAGCTCGTTGACCGTTCTCATGGTAGGTGGAGACGACAATTGTTGTGTGGCGGTTGTTGCACCAGCCTTCTGCTGGGATTACGGAGTCCGGATCACTGCCACGCGCATTACATCTCTCTGCGCTCTCGTTCCACGCGCTGAGACAAGTTTGGACATCGACGTCCGGCAGGCAGGATCTTTCATGGAGGAGAGCTGGTGGACCTATCAGACCGATGTCGCTATCGCTGTCCTAGGGTCGATTGGGGTCATGCAGGACCCGTTCACGAACGACCTGGGCCAGGAAATCCTTCTGCCTGTCACGTCACCTGGTCTCCCACAAGAGCTATTCAGGGAAGGTCTTCTGAGATCCCCTGAGCGTTCGGCCAGCGGTATTCTAGGCAAGCAGGGTAGGCCAAGTTTACGGCCCTCCAGAAGGCCAGCGTGAAAACTTTGTTGTGCGGAGCTTCCTGGACTAGTAACGACGCTTTTCCGCCAGGATGCAAGTGCGATCTGGAGTGTGATCTTTGCGTCGAGCCTGACTCTCTCTCTCTCTCTCTCTCTTTCTCTCTTTCATAGAATGTGGAAGTGTAGCTCGTGCGGTTCCGAGCGTGGGTCCCTCGTGCAGCACTGGATCCTAGAGGTCTCTAGGGACCCCGAGGCCGACCTGCTCCTTTTCATCCGGGGGCTCGTTCGACCCCCAGGGGACCCCCCACCTTCACCGACGAGGGCGTGCACATCAAGTGGCATAACGGCCCTGGTAGAGTGGGAAGTGGGAGGGGGATTTGAAGGTCGCGTCTTTCTCGACGGCTCTTGTTCGGAGAGTCCTGTCAGGGAGCTTGCACGCGCGGGGTGGGATCTCACCGAGATCAGTCTCGGCACCTCACTAGTTTGCACTCTTTCCGCGCCGGTGTAGAGCCCGACCCTTCAAACGAGCCAATGTGGGAAGTACTCTGCGTGGGGTGGGGGCACGAATTTGCTTGCTGGAGGCCCTTATCAGTTGTACACGGACTGCTTTAATGTCTCTAAGCAGTTCAACGCACCATCCTCCGCAGAAGGGGTTAGCCACAAGTTGTTATACAGCGGCCTTGTTCCCCATGCGCTATCTCAGAAGGGTATGCGTGCCAACGAAGAGGTTGGCGAGGCGGACATGTTTTTGCATAGTTATTGGGAATCATCTGGCTGCCGCCGCCGCCAGGAGAGGTGCCACCCACCACCCCCAGCCAGATCCCGATGTAAGGGAAGTTGTGTCGCGTTCTGTCCGTGTTGCCCAGGGTGTTGCTAGCCTAGCTGCGAACAGTCTCATTAGTTGGCCTCTCCTCGACCTGGATGGGGTGGAATACGTTCGCCCCGTGAAAGTGACCCCCGTCGCCTAGGCTCGTGCACGAGCGGTCTTGAGCGCTGAGCGGGATTTGGCATTTTGGCAATGCGTTCGCTGTCTAAGGGGGCGGCGCGGCCAGATCAATGAGCCCGGCAGCATGGCAGAGCCTCCCCTTGGGGCTTGCTCAAGGCACTGCAATATTCAGCTCAGCGACCTCTTGGCTCTGGATCATGTTTGCTGGGACGCCGACTGTTCGGGCAATTTTGTTTGTGTGTGTGTGTTCGGCCAGACGTGCAAGTTCTGGAAGTCTGGCCAGCGTATTGCCCACTTGGCCTCCGCCTGGAAGGGGCCATCGCGCACCCTGTACGGCAAGTCGCGGGCACCCGTTCCGTGGGGCAGGGCCACATGCGAAGGATTTCACCCAAAGAGGCTTCGAGTCATGATGCTCGTGAGTTCGCTTGCCGCCCTGTGCGGCCTTCCGCCTGGAGAGTCGGCCGAGGATTCCCTTGGTGCTGCGATTAAGACCTTGCACACTCAGATTGCCCCCCCCTCTCTCTGCTCCAGCCGTGGTCAGCCCTCGCTGGGCAGCAGGTCCATGTTCAGTGCCTGCAGCCTTTCTTGCACTTTGGCTCCAGGCGTCCTTCAGCCGTCCGCGTCAAACATCTCTCTCTCTCTCTCTCTTGTCTCCCCGCTCCCCAGACGCCCCTTGAGGCCTAAGACGGGTGCAAGGAGCTGAGAACCCACGATGCTCTTTCTCCTCCTCCTCCTCATCCTCCTCCTCCTCCCCTGCATCCTTCTCGCCCGCGTTCTCTGCATACTTCTCTCCCTCCTTACCCCCGCCCATCCACCTCGTTGACCTCCTGCTCCTCATCTTCCTTCTTGACGGTGCCCGTGAAGCACTCCCTGCATTGTTGCCACATGTTGTTGTACCATCCCTCCCTGATGACGCTGGGCAGAATCTTCCTGCGCGGCAGCTTCCTGCTGGCGATGCTCGAGATTAAGGGTGCGGGTTGGGTCCCCCAGTTGTTTGCACTGGGTTCGGGGAGTTGGGTCACCTATTCGACGGCAGTGGCATGCTCCCCACGACGGCAAGGGCGCTCCAACTTGCCATGTAGTCTCTTGCTCAACACCCTCCTTGCTCCGCTCCACATGCTGCTAGAGATCCAGCTGCTGCCCATGCTCCTCCACTCTATGCCTCTGTCGCATGTCCTACCCGACGAAATGGAGCAGGTACAGATCGACCTGGCTTTGGCGGCGTTCCGCGCTCTCTACCCCAAGATTTCCGCCATCAGGCACGACATGATCAAGCGGATGCTGCACGATCCTGGCCGTCTATTCGAACAGTCTCCTTCCGAGGACGCGATGGGCCAGGAGATGGAGCTGCATGACGCTGTGGGTGACTTCGAAGCCTACGGGGAACCCATGTTCGTGGAGCTGCTGATCGCCGCCCCATCTCGGACGCCGACCTCTACGATGCGTTCGAGGACCCGTCCACCCTCGACACCCTTGTGGCGCCGCACGGCTTCCCAAGTTTTGCTAATTTCGTGCCTGCGGACCACCCCTTCCACGCCGCGGCCTTCGACCACGCGATGTGTGTGCCCGACGACTCCGCCGTCGTGGTTCGTTACGTTGATGAGCGGCCCCGCGGCATCCGCGGCGCCGGCCCGCCCGCCCCTCGGGCGAGGAGACTTGCTCGCCTCAGGGACGCTGGCTCCTCCTCCTGCCGTTTCTGCCGTTTCTCGCTAGGCAGCGTCTTGTCATGCGCCCCGCGGCGCGGAGCGCGCCGCAGCGGCCCAGCAGGGCCGTGCGGGCACTCAGACAGCGGCCCCGGGAACCCGACCCCGAGGGAGAGGGAGGACCAGGGACCAATAATATCACGGAGGGGGAGGAAGGGGCCGGGTTTTCAAAAAAGAAGGGGGCCCGACAGGGCCCTCGGGAGGCGCCGCGCACGCCCGCCCCCTCAGGCAGCGCGGCACGGCGCGCGGCCAGGCCGTCGGCCTCTTCGTGGGCCGGCGGCCGCACGGCTGTGGTTCGCGAGCCAGAGTTACTCCTTGCCTCCGTAGTGCGCGAACCTGCGGTACTCGACCCAGTCGTACAGGTCGAAGTTGCACTGCCTGACCCTGCGGCGCTCGGAGCTGTGCTGCTCGCCGCAGGCGTGCTGGTTACCGTGGTACAGCTTGGCTCCGTAGTTCACGATCTGTGACACGGCTCGATCATGATGGTCATCAGGGTGATGCCTGGGACTATTATGCAGATCCTGTGGTACTAAAACCAGACATGTTGGTTGGAGTGGTGGTACTTGGCTCGATGGTCCTCAAACTCGCGGTACTCGACTCATCAATGCTGGTCGCCGTTGAATGCGGGTAGTGGTAGTGGGTAGTCGGTTGGTGGTCTTCGGCTGATAGTCAGGTGGTGAGCTGTGGTGCTCGACTCCATCATGGTGGTCATCGGCTTACTGCATGAAAGTATGGCGTCGATCCTGTGGTACTCGACCCAGTAGCGTTCATTGACGTGGTAGTGCTTGACTCGATGGTCCTCATCATGCAATGCTCGGCTCAGACGTGCTGGTCGCCGGTGATGGCGGAAATTGCTGGCTGAGTGGTAGGTCGATGGGGAGCTCCCCCGCTGTTGTATCTGCTTTTCGTGCGTGCTGGTCAGGGTCGTTGGGCGATCGGCTTGTTGCTGGTGTTGTGATGTGGGGCGTGGGCGCACATATGAGGCCTCCATGCACCGACTTCAAGTGGGGTTCGCGGCGGCCCCACCTCGTCCCGCTATGGCTAGGGGTCACGGTGCCCTCGGTGG